TTTTAACAGAGCTCATCTCCAAATTATCTTTACAAGTTCTTAAATGTAAAGATTTCAAATTTGGACAAGCATTTAATACAACACTTAGACCTTTAGTTGTAATCTTTACATCGTTTAAATATAGTTCTCTGATATAAATTTTCGTTTCTTGACGTAAGTGGGTGTTAAACATAGGTGGAATTGTTTCATCAGAGATATTTGCGAGTGTATTTAAATTTAGCCTTGACCATAAAATATCATGATTAAATATGAAATAATTTAATGATTTACAAACGCTTGCGATCGTTTTTGTACGTGTTTGAAGAGTTGTTAAAAGAAATATTTTCCCTAATATTTCAGGTGGAAGACGTAATAACATCATTTGTCGTGTTGAATTGTTCAATTCAGAAGATTCCATTTTATTAATAGTGTTTGAAGGCGCCATTAGTTTTTAAATCTAGTAGTAGTCAAGTAGTGAATTTTATTTTTTGTTAATAAAACTTAGATAAAGACAAGTGATTATATTCATTTTTTTTTGCGCAGTAAAGGAATTTCTTTTCCGATCATTTGTCGTTCAATCAACAAAGTCCGCGTGAACCGGTGGTACAAAGTACAGTACCGTATATAGTTGCTGCGTATTTGCGTATTTCAGAAAATAATTACAATGTTGGTCAATTGTCAATAGAATTGATCATGTGTTATAAGACTTGGCGAAGTAGCCGAAATAGCCGACAAGGCTGAAATCTAATTTTAAAAGCCGAAATCCAACTTTTTGAGCTAACGAAATTTATTCATCAGCGTTTTCAAAAATGATCACATTTGGACAAAAGTCGGACGTGTTACACTATATGCACCATTAGAGCATACATAATTAATTCATAATTCAGTCGGGTTAATTTTGAAAAACTCGTTTTTTTTTTTTTTTTTTTTTACATATATATATATAGAAATCGGGGAGCGGGATATATTCAGAAGATTCACGGTTATGAAAACCAACAAGCAGCTTAATGTTCGCGAGTTATTATAATTCTTTAA